AAACATCGATGAGAGAGAAACATCGATCAGCTGCCTCCTGCACACTCCCCACCAGGATGTGCCCACAACCAAGATACATGCCCTTGCCTGGAATCAAACCCGGGACCCTTCAGTCCACAGGCCGACACTCTATCCACTGAGCCAAACCAGTCAGGGCTGGAGTATTAGATTCTAAGACAAGTATTATAGAATGGTAAGAGAGATAGACAGTTAAAAAAAAAACTTTACCATACCCCTAAAATTATATGATAAGTAAACAAACCTGGGATATGCATGGATATTATAGTGGAATATCCCGTGATATGTACTCACATGCTCACATTAGTGATAAATACATACTCATAGGTTAAAACACCACAACAGAGCAAGCTCTCACAAACCTCCAACAGATCTGGAACATTCTTTGGCTCAAATTTCTCTCTATCATAAGAGGATGGAGACTGTGTTGCACTCATGCAGGTGTCACAGATGGATGATAATCTGAGAGCAATCTGCAGTAATGATATTGAGCAGGGTGGCAGTCCTCAGTTTTGGGAATTTTCTGTTTTACATATTTAAAAACCCAACACAAAATAATATGTACAAAAAGGTGTAATGATTCCTCCATTAAATTAAAAACTATAGGAAATTAGTCCCAAAAAGTAAAAGCAAAAAAAGCATTTATTTGGCAGAAACAATTTTTACTCAGTTTCCTAGATTGACTCTCAAACAACTCTTGATACTCTCTTCCCATTTGCTAGCTTAATAAAATATTGGCCTATACAACCAGATGGGGTGGAGGGAGGGATATGACTCCAGTTTAGCTGAAATGCGGCCTCAAATTATGTTCTCAAGTTTCTTCTCCCTCTGCGTCTTCCATCTCTGCCCTTTTACATGTGAGCTATAGTCTCAGGTTTGCCACGTGGCATGGTGAAGGTAATGACCAGCTTATAAACGCCAATGAAAAGGAGTGCTACTTTACCTAGAAACTCAAGCCAGTTCCTCAGATTGATGGGTCGGCTTCATTTTTATCATATGCCAATCCTTGAAACAATCACTATCACTAATGGAAATTAGATGCCAAGATGGTCAAGTCCGGGCCATTTTTTACCCCACTGCTGAGGGATGTGTCATCCTGAGCAGAGCCACAGGGACTTAGAAAGGGAGAGAGTAGTTCCCCCCAAAATGCTGGACAGGTAAAAATAAATTAATTAAGCTATCACAGTGTTCTTTCAAAATAGTGGGTAAATTGATGCATTGAAACATCCTTTTCAGACAAAGGAATAATAAAACATGGAATGGATTATAAAACATTAAAGAAATGTTAAATATCAAAGGCATAGCTCTTGATTAAGGTGCCTTTGATAGTATGCAAAGAATTATGGGTAGACCAATACAGCAAAGAATACCCCCTTTTCTTTGAAGTACATTTAATAAGTGTCAGATTGTGTGGGACTCGGGGTGGGCAGAATAGAGTGTTGCTTGAGGTAAGCTTTGATTAATAATGGAGTGACAGCACAGTCATGAGGAGGCAGGAACTAGCTGAGCAACATTCCCCAGGTTGGTGCAACCCCTGCGATTCTTACATTAGAGTCCATGATCCCAGAAGAGAAGTATGTGTCAGGACAGAATTTTAAAGTGGGAAAAAGATGCTTTACTCTATGGAACTCATTCATAGTGTGAATCATATCTGAGACCCACTATTCACTCCTGTTGGCTAGCTCCTTTTTTTCAGCTATAACCTGTGTTCACCACCTATCTTGAAAAAGCAGGAGACTAGAGGATGGGCTAGCCTGGTAGAGTCAGTGGTAGTTAACATTGACTTTCAGCTGTGGAGCAGACAATAAATGGAAACTGTAGTCATATCATGGACGAAAATAAGCTTACAAAGAACACTGTGAAGAGTTAAACCCAAGGCAAGAGGAGAGGGCAGCGATCAGATCTGAAGCAAGCGGCTCACCAATGAGGAACAGACAAGAGAGGCAGAGTGGATAAAGGGAGAAAATGCTGACAAGATCCCTGAGCCCATGGAGCCTGGGGAGAGAAATCCTTTTATTGAGATCTAATTGCCCTGTGCCACTAACTTTGAGGAGCA